ACACCAGGAAGAAGGGCCCGAACGACTCACACCAGGACGAGAGGCCCGAACGACTCAAACCACGAGGGGCCCGAACGGCTCACACCAGGACGAGGGGCCCGAACGACTCACACCACGAGGAGCCCGAACGACTCACACCAGGAAGAGGGGCCCGAAGGACTCACACAAGGACGATGGGGCCGAACGACTCACACCACGAGGGGCCCCAACGACTCCCACCAGTCGTCGTCGTCGTCGTCGTCGTCGTCGTCGTCGTCGTCGTCGTCGCGCGCCGCCGTCGTCGTCGTCGTCGTCGACGACGTCGTCGTCGTCGTCGTCGCGGTTGTGGTCGTCGTCGTCGTCGCGGTCGATATCGTCGTCGTCGTCGGGTGCGTCGTCGTTGTTAGGATCATCGCTGTGGTCGTCGTCTCCGCTAAATCCCTCTTGCCTCCCACCGCTTTCTCTCCCTCCTCCTCCGCCTCGTCCTTCTCCCGCTCCCACCACAAGGAGGATGTGCAAGGAGGCGGGAGGAAGGAGGAACAGGGGAGATATGCGGGGGCAGGCGGAAACACGCCTGAAAAACACGACTGTCGGCATGCTTCGCAAGAATTGTTGTTTTGAGATGGGCTGGTGGGGATACGCGAAGCGTGAAGAATTACATCTGGTTGGGTCCTTCACCCGGATATCTTCTTTACGAAGTATTTTTGTAAACGTGTAACTCGCGGCGAAAGATTGCGCGCGCATGATCTGTTGCAGAGGATGGCGGGGGGGGGGGGGGGAGGCGACGCAGGTTTTCGAATTGCACATTGCGTTACGAAAGGGGAGGTGACAATGCCGGGGAGGGGGCGGGGGTAGAGTCCACTCTCTCGTTGGCAAAAAATTACCCCGGCAAAGCAACCTAACAGCGATGTGTAGAAGCATAGCTGGAAACATTGCCTGTGGAATTCATGTAAGAGTGCTGTTGTAAAGTTCCGGTGTTCTCGCAGTCGCATTCGGATTCGCAGTGGCAGTCGCAGTGGCAACATCAGCGGCAGTCGCAGTGGCACTGCCAGTCGTTGCAGTAGCCATAGCTACACTAGCAGCAGCAACAGCAGCAGCAGCAGCAGTAATAGTAACAGTAGTAGTAGCAGTAGAAGTAGTAGTGATGTCTTTGGGGATGCGGTCGCGATGGTCCGAGAAACGTTTGGCCAACTTGTTTTCGGCCCGTTCTTGTTCGGACGTTCCATGATTTCGCTTCGGTATCCGGCCGAACTGCTTCACGTGCTCGACGAGCGTTTGCAGAGGACCGCTCAATGCAGCACGCTGAGGAGCAGCGCTGTTCCCTGCCGCAGGCTGAGGAGCACCGCTGTTCAATGCAGCAGGGTCAGGAGCACCGCCGCCAGACCGAGAACTATCAGCATGTCCTGGCATTGAGGTGTGCAGTAGGCGCTGCGCAGTTCCTTTGAAAAGAAATCTTCGAAAGCAGGGTTGTAGCCAAGAAGGCTACGGGGACGATGATGATGATGAAGATGATGAGTCTTAGAAGTCTGGGAAGTGGAAGAGCACGAAGTGGCGTACAGTTGGCTCCGGGCATTCACAATGTGGCCCAGGAGTCGAGTTCTGGGAATTCCAAGAGCACGAAGTGGCCTACAGTTGGCTCCGGGCATTTAAAATGTGGCCCGGGACTGGTGTTCTGGGAAGTCCAAGAGCACGAAGTGGCCTACAGTTGGCTCCGGGCATCCAACATGTGGCCCGGGAATGGAGTTCTGGGAAGTCGAAGAGCACGAAGTGGCCTACAGTTGGCTCCGGGCATCCAAAATGTCGCCCGGGAGTCGAGTTCTGGGAATTCCAAGAGCACGAAGTGGCCTACAGTTAGCTCCGAGCATCCAAAATGTGGCCCGGGAGTGGAATTCTGGGAAGTCGAAGAGCACGAAGAGGCCTACAGTTGGCTCCGAGCATCCAAAATGTGGCCCGGGAATGGAGTTCTGGGAAGTCGTAGAGCACGAAGTGGCCTACAGTTGGTTTCGGGCATTCAAAATGTGGCCCGGGAATTGACTTCTGGGGGGTCGAAGAGCACGAAGTGTGAGACTGTTTTGTTTAAAACGAGCCCGGCCCTGAGCCCGGCCCTCGCTGTCCGGATGCCGCCCAGACCTCCCTTCTGAGTCATCAGATGCTCTTTTTTGACACCACTAGAAACCTATCAGTCTTCGCTGTTAGGTAACTTGATGTGGTCAAATTAATGCGTAGCGCCCTATGTGGCGCAACCAATGTGTAGCAGTCTACGTGGTGCAATTGATTTTAACAAACGAGCTGACACATCCCATGTTCTCGCAAACATCCCACCCACCCCGCCCGCAATTTGGTTTTGCAAAAACCACGCGGTGGCGATTGCGATGCATGCTTGGCGTCGGCCGGTGCATCTCTGCGGCCGCGCCCACCCAAGCACGCGCGCGCAGCGGCCAGCTAGTCTGGGGGATCAAGTGAATGGCGGGAGATCAGATGGCAGACTCGAGCTACGCGTGGACAAGCTGGGGGCTGGAAGAAAGCCCAAGTCGCACATAGGCCTCGGGGTCGACGTCAAGCAGGCGAAGCTGAGCAACCAGAAGGAGATTACCAAGGTCGAGAACCACATGACGGCCGAACCGAACCGCTCATCCAAGCCAGCGCGGACCCCTTCGACTTCATGGGCGACGGCCTCGCGGGCGACCTATCGGGGGGCACCGCAGAGGAGGCGCAGGTCTCGAATGCGAAGGCGAGGAGAGCTCGATGGGCGGAGGGGGTCGCGGCGGCTATCAGAGCGAGAGCGGCAGCGACTTTCATGGCGGCAGCGGCTGCGCAGCCGCGTCGCTCAGCGTCGAAGTCGAAGAAGAAGGAGCCAGTGAACCAGAAGGTCCGCCGTCTGAATCTGGTCAAGGGCACGATGCAAAAAACGCAGGACGAGGCGAGGTTCTCCGCGCGCGAGAGCTGCGGCTCGAGGGCGCCGAAGATCAAGAGCGCGCAGTGGCTCGCCGGAAGGAGTTCGCAAGTGGGGCGCCAAACAATTTCCCTGAGCCACGCCCGCAAGTGCGACGCGACCTTTGAGGCCCGCCACTGTACGCCGCGCGGGGCGATCCGGGGGGGGGGGGGGGGGCAACATTACTCCCGCGAAGGAGCGCAACGGAGCGCTGATGCAGGCTGGCAAGCATAACCTGGCGAGGGCCAGGCAGGCGCCGCGGCCCGGGGGATCCTGGTGCGCGAAAGAATGGAACAGGGAGAAACGAAATGACTTCTGATCAGCTATGCGCGACGTCTGCGCGCGGGGCTGGCGGGGAAGAACTGGCCCCGAGTCTGGGCGCGTCGGTTCCGATGGGCCGCTGCTGCAAACATCCCCTCCTCCTCCTCCTCCTCCTCCTCCTCCTCCTCCTCCTCCTCCTCCTCCTCCTCCTCCTCCTCCTCTTCATGATCGCCAGCGTCGCCAGCGTCGTCAGCATCGCCATCATCAGCATCGTCCTCATCACCACGGACATAATCATCAACATCCGCATCAGCATCATGGGCATCGGAATCGACATCACCACCATCACCAGCACCACCATCATCATCACCACCGCTAGCATCATCATATTCACCACCATCACCATCATCATCCACGGCCTTGGGCGCTCCGACGTACACCTTCCCCCTCATCCTTCTCATCCACCTCGGATCGGATCGGAAAGAGCCCCCACGCTCCACGCACGCGCAAAGAGAGACGCGGCCGCGCGCGCGCAGCGCGAGCAGGAGGGAGACACGTCTCAGTTCGCACCCCACCTCCTCATTCCCCTCACCCACAGCAGTTATGCTGAGGCGTTGTGGGAAGGCGTGGGGTGCTCCGACTCCTCCTCCTCCCGCCATAGACGCACGCGAGACAACGCCACGCAGACGCAACCACACCCGCCCCAACACTCGAACATAACCCTCCCCTTTCCTCCAGGGCCCAAGAAATGAGCAAATGCTCTAGCGTACAACGTCAAGCGGCGCCGCACTTGTAAACCATCCAGTATTCTGGCATGCTACCTTCTTGGCGTCTACGCCGACGCGGCGTTGCCCTTGCCTGTGCCCTTGCCGGGGGGTGGCAACACATTCGAGGTGGGCACGGCCGTGCGGCATGGATCTCGAACGCGCCCCTCCTGGGAATAATGCTCCTGCAAGAGCCCAGGGACGTTATGCTCATTTTCCGTGCCCTTGCCCTTACCAGTAAGATCGAGAAAGCACGACGTAGCCTAGCACTGGGAATGTCTACGAGTATGTCTTGGCAATTGTTCTTGCCTGTGCCCTTCCGCCACGGTTCATGACCGCCTCGATGAGGAGAACTTGAAACGGCCACCAAAGCACATGGGCGAGGAGCAGAAACGGCGGGTACAGGGAGAGCTCGGTCAAGTGCAGGAACATCCCCAACTCGAACATAAATACCTTCTGCACCGCCACAAGCGATTGCATGCTTTTGGTGACCCCGGTTGCCTCTAGCAGCCTGTCCTCCATGATCATGTTCTGGCCGCTGGGGGGCTAATCGATAGCCAAACTGACGCCTCGGATGTACCGTTGGTGTGCTTGTGGCCACGGTCCACAGCAGAGCGCAGTTAAACTTCATCGCGCAGCCAACGAAGAACTGCAATAACTCCATGAAGCCAAACCTCTGGCATGGCTCCACGGACAAGTGCCGATACTAATAAGTTGACCTTTGAATTGGCTGGGTCTGTGCTAGACCGACGGTAACATGCGTCACTCTGCACATTTGCGCCTGTCGACCAATCCAGTCCAACGCTGCAGCACTGGCATCGCGGCGCGAGCGAAGGGAGGACTGACTGACAGACTGAATCACATGTTTTGAAACATTTACAACCCAGCAATTGTTTGGGCAGACGACTCCCCTTCCACCTCATCCTCCTCCTCCGCCGCCTCCGCCTTCGCCTCCTCCCTTTCCTGCTCCTCCCTCCTCCCTCCTCCGACCTCCATGGCGAGAAATCCAAGGGGAGCGCTCATCCGCGAGGCGCGTGGAAGGCGAGGTGAGCGCGGGCGCGCTGCGCGCCGAAACGGGGTTCGGCTGCATGAAGCGATACTTGCTGTGCAACCTCTCCTGGTCGGCCCTGCGGACGGACGGAGGATGACGACGGATCGTGTCGTCATCCCGTCCTCTTCCTTCCTCGTCGTCCTCCTCCCTGGTCGTCGTGCTCCTCCTCCCGTTGCTCCTCCTTGTCCTCCTCCTCCTCCTGCTCCTCCTCCTGCCCCTGCTCCTCATCCCTCCTCCTCCTCCTCCTCCTCCTCCTCCTCCTCCTCTTCCATGTGTTATTCTTATTATTAGTAATAGTATTATTATTACTATTATTATTATAATGATCATTATTATTATTAATATCCTGTTTCTTATTCGTCCTCCTCCTCCTCCTCCTCCTCCTCCTCCTCCTCCTCCTCCTCCTCCTCCTCCTCCTCCTCCTCTCAGTATTCATCATATTCTTAATATGCGTATGATCATGACAATGATTATGTTGTTTGGAAAGAATAGATTTATTAATAGTAATAAGAATGATACCAGAGAAAAAAACAATCATATTTTTTGGGGGGGGGCTATGGGGCTTTAGGGCTTTAGGGCTATGGGGCTATAGGGCGATGTGGCCATAGGGATATAGGGCTAGAAGCCTTTAGGGCTATGGGGCTATAGGGCTACAGGGCTGTAGGGCTATAGGGCTAAGGGCTAAAAGGCTATTCGGGCTACAGGGCTATATACGGCTATAGGGCTTTAGTACCATAGGGCTATAGGGCATAGGGCTATGGGGCTATGGGGCTATTGGGGCTATAGGGCTATAGGGCTATAGGGGTATAGTGCTATAGGGATACAAGGCGATTGGGCTATTGGGCTATAAGGATACAGGGCTATTGGGCTAGACACCCCCGGGCACTTCTGGGCACCCCGGGCACCCGGGCACCCCTGGGCACCCGGGCACCCCCGGGCACCCCCGGGCACCCGGGCACCCGGCCCCAGCCACCGAAATCGGCCACACACCTGGGCACCCGGGCACCCGGCCCCGGCCACCGAAATCGGCCGCTCACCTCACCTCAGCTTTATATCCGCTAGGACCCCTACAGAGGCAAGCTCTGATTGGGGAATAATTTCACTAGTATTCTTATCATTAGCCATAATATTAGCAGTCGTATGAATAATACTAGTAGGGATAGCAGTATTGGCTCTGGTGGTGGTGGTTGTAGTAATAGTAGTAGTAGTAGTAATAGTAGTGGTGGTAGTAGTAGTAGTAATAATAATAGTAGTAGTAGCAGTAGTAGTAGTAGTAGTAGTAGTAGCACTAGTAGTAGTAGTTGTTGTAGTGGTCGCAGTAGTAGTAGTAGTAGTAGTAGTAGTAGTAGTAGTAGTAGTAGTAGTAGTAGTAGTAGTAGTAGTAGTAGTAGTAGTAGTAGTAGTAGTAGTAGTAGTAGTAGTAGTAGTAGTAGTAGTAGGTAGTAGTAGGTAGTAGTAGTAGTAGTAGTAGTAGTATAGTAGTAGTAGTAGTAGTAGTAGTAGTAGTAGTAGTAGTAGTAGTAGTAGTCGTAGTAGTAGTAGTAGTAGTAGTAGTAGTAGTAGTTAGTAGTAGTTAGTAGTAGTAGTAGTAGTAGTAGTAGTAGTAGTAGTAGTAGTAGTAGTAGTAGTAGTAGTAGTAGTAGTAGTAGTAGTAGTAGTAGTAGTAGTAGTAGTAGTAGTAGTAGTAGTAGTAGTAGTAGTAGTAGTAGTAGTAGTAGTAGTAGTAGTAGTAGTAGTAGTAGTAGTAGTAGTAGTAGTAGTAGTAGTAGTAGTAGTAGTAGTAGTAGTAGTAGTAGTAGTAGTAGTAGTAGTAGTAGTAGTAGTAGTAGCGTAGTAGTCAGTAGTAGTAGTACCACTAGTACCCTGAGTTTCGTATGCTTCTGTACAGTTGCTTCGTGGTGCTGCTTGCTGATTCTGATGGAACAAAAACGGACATTTGTACCACGCCCTGAGCGTATGCTCTGAATTGCTGGGGTGGATCAAACAAATTACACCCCTCACGCAGATGGGCGGGGTCAGGGTCCAAAAATAATGGGAGTTGCTACATTTCTGAAAGTCGGTGGCACCCCTCACGCAGATCAGCGGGGTCAGGGTCCACACAACACGAAGAATGTGCCACATCTCTAAAATTTGCTGGCACCCCTCACGCAAATTGGCGGGGTCAGGATTCCAAAACACATGGGATTTGCCACATGTCTAGCTGGCACCCCTCACGCAGATCGGCGGGGTCAGGGTCCAAAAACATATGGGATTTGCCACATTTCTGAAATTCGCGGGCACCCCTCACGCAGATCGGTGGGGTCAGGGTCCAAAAAACACATAGGGTTTGCCTCATTTGTAAAATTTGCTGACACCCCTTAGCAGATCGGCAGGGTCAGGGTCCAAAAACAAACGGGATGTGGTACATTTCTCAAATTCGGCTGCACCCCTCACGCAGATCGGTGGGGTCAGGGTCCAACAACACATGGGAGTTGCAACATGTCTGACATTCGGTGGCACCCCTCACGCAGATCTGCGGGGTCTGGGTCCAAAAACACATGGGAGTTGCCACATTTCTGAAATTCGATGGCACCCCTCACGCAGATCGGCGGGGTCAGGGTCCGAAAACCCAAGAGATTCTTAATTCTTCTGAAATTCGGTGGCACCCCTCACGCGGATCGACAAGGTCAGGGTCCAAAAACATTGAGGATTCGCCACATGTTTTAAAATTTGCTGGCACCCCTTACACAGATCGGCAGGGTCAGGGTCCAAAAACACAATGGATTTGTTACATTTCTGCAATTCACTGGAACCCCTCACGCAGATTGGCGGCGTCAGGCTCACAAGACAAGTCCATTGGTTTTGCCGATTACCAATCAGCCTCGCATGAAGTTCCGAAGCTGCTTCACGACGGCGCCCAGGCCGCATGACATAGCTCTCGCATATCGCATTATCCGAGGTAGGGGGCCGGCGGCAGAGGGCGAAGCCCTTGCGGGTAGAACTCGTAGCAATAGTAGTCGTAGTAGTAGTAGTAGTAGTAGTAGTAGTAGTAGTAGTAGTAGTAGTAGTAGTAGTAGTAGTAGTAGTAGTAGTAGTAGTAGTAGTAGTAGTAGTAGTAGTAGTAGTAGTAGTAGTAGTAGTAGTAGTAGTAGTAGTAGTAGTAGTAGTAGTAGTAGTAGTAGTAGTAGTAGTAGTAGTAGTAGTAGTAGTAGTAGTAGTAGTAGTAGTAGTAGTAGTAGTAGTAGTAGTAGTAGTAGTAGTAGTAGTAGTAGTAGTAGTAGTAGTAGTAGTAGTAGTAGTAGTAGTAGTAGTAGTAGTAGTAGTAGTAGTAGTAGTAGTAGTAGTAGTAGTAGTAGTAGTAGTAGTAGTAGTAGTAGTAGTAGTAGTAGTAGTAGTAGTAGTAGTAGTAGTAGTAGTAGTAGTAGTAGTAGTAGTAGTAGTAGTAGTAGTAGTAGTAGTAGTAGTAGTAGTAGTAGTAGTAGTAGTAGTAGTAGTAGTAGTAGTAGTAGTAACGTAGTAGTAGTAGTAGTAGTAGTAGTAGTAGTAGTAGTAGTAGTAGTAGTAGTAGTAGTAGTAGTAGTAGTAGTAGTAGTCGTAGAGGTAGAAGTAGAAGTAGAGGTAGAAGTAGTAGTAGTAGTAGTAGTGGTAACAGCAGCAACAGTATTAGTAGTCGTCGTAGTCGTCGTAGTTTTAGTAGTATGCTTCGTCGTTATTCGTTGTATTAGTATGTGTGTTATTCGCCTCCGTCTTCTTCTTAACATTATCATGATTATGTATATTATTCCTTATTATGCATATCTCCATATGCCTCTTGTTGTTATTCCTCCTCCTCCTCCCTCCTCCACCTCCTCCTCTTCCTCCTCCTAATCCTCCTGGTCTTCCCTGTACTCCTGCACACCTGAGGACCTAGACTACCAACAGCAAAAATAGCTCAACAGCGGGACAAGGTGAACCTCCAAGCCGCGCTGTTGACCTCCCCCCATGCCCCACTCTGGGTACCCGCTGAGGCCAGATTGCCGGGGCGGGAGAACGGGAGGGGAATCCTCCTCTCCCTCCGGTCCTTCTGGGAACGCGCCGAGATGGCGAAGAGCCACAACCACGCGCCTTGCACACATAACTCCTCCCCCCAACCAAACCAACCGAAACCGAGGCCTAGCACACAACCGAGAATGCTTCAAGCCTTGCTCCTCGCGTTGCCGTCGCCCTCGGCTTCGCAGGTGGGCGCGCCGCGGTACCTGGGCAACCGCCCGCTGCACGGGCGTCGTGGCCATCTTCAAGATGCCGTCGGGCAGGCCCCGACGCACTCGTGCCAAAGTTGGCGGCGCGCACAAGGGGGTGGGGGGAGGGAGGAGGGCTTCTTAGAAGGAGGCTGCGTCTTAGAAGGCGCCGGCCTTACATCTATGGACAAGGCCCGCGCCTTCTAAGAAGCAGGGGCGCTTCTAAGAAGCCCTCCCCCCTCCCCCCACCCCCCTCTACTCGTGGCCGAAAAAGGCTCCAACACGGACGAAACACGCTCGGGTATGTCCCCTTTTGTCTCGACCGGCCCCCCTCTGGTCCGATCCCATCGTCGCAAGTGGTTTTCGGGCCAGAACTCGGGCCACTGGCAGCCGATCGCGACGACTCGGGCACCCCTGGCAGGCCTTCGACGAGGCGCAACTGATGAAGACCCCCTCTGCGCGTGAATGACAACGCATGCAGAGGGCTCCGCACGCACGCGTTTCCACACACATGCGCGCGCGCACACACACACACCAACCACGGATGAACGGTGACGGGTCTTGCGTACATCCGGGCCGCTGAAAGAAGGAACGCTAAATAAGGAACGACGTTTCATTTTGCCCCTAAAAGCGCCTCCGTTCCCAAGGAGGGCAAGAGGAACAGCACTTAAGGAACCTAAGGAACATCGAGCCCCTTCCGAACCCAAACTGTTCCTTACTTCAGCGTTTTGACTGTACACGCGACGAATTAGCTTCCCTGTGAAACGGCGCGGAGGCCAGGAAGTCCTACACACGCACACCCAGGATCCCCCACGTCTGCCTCGGGCGAAACTGTTCGGGGTCCTCGCGCCGGACTCGTGTTTCCTGATTGTGCCGTTCGCTCGCGTCAGATGGTTGTCGCCGCCAGTCCGCGCCGTCTGGAAGGAGCGATGAGGGAGGGGGAAGAGGAGGAGAAGAGGAAGGAGAAGAGCAGGCGGAGGAGGAGGAGCAGGAGGACGAGGGGGAAGCGAACGCGGAGGAGAAGACAGAGGAGGAAGAAAGGGAGGAAGCGGAAGGGGAAACGGATTGGGTTGATGGGGGAAGACGTACATCCTGTCCAGGGCGCATCCTTTTATTTGTTGTCGTCCCAGACGCCGAAAGCTACAGGCAATGCCTTGTCTGACAACGCGCACAAGGGGTGGCAAAGGGGGCAGCCTTCTAAGAAGGTGGGGGGCGTCTCAGAAGACAGTGGCACAGTGGCCTTCTCAAAAACCCTCCCAGCTTCCAGGAAGTTGTACCCGCGTGCGGGTGCCCTGAGCCACCCGTTGCCGAGCCCATCCGATAGTTTGTACAAGCTCGGGGTTAGACGGAGCCAAGAGGGAGAAGGATGGGGAGGTCACCGTCAGGGGGATGCAGTGTGACCCGGGGCATCGGAGGTATCTGTTTCCTCCTCCTCCTGCTGCTCCTCGTCATGCTCCCCCTCCTCCCCCGATGTATAGGACTACCAGAGATCCTACAGAAAAGGCGTTTGAAATCCTCAGGGCCCGTCCACGAGGGCCCCTGCCCTCAAAACTATAGCCCGAGGCGGGGACTTGTCCACCCCCATGTCCTGGGAACCGACGTCCTGGTGCCTCAGCGGGCGGTGGATCTGATGTTGGCCCCTGGGGGCCCGAACATGTCCACCGCCCGCCGAGGTCCCCGAAAATGGATCCTCCAGGCGGTGGTCATGTATAAATTCCCGCCTCGGAGGGAAGGAGGATAGGTGCGAACGGATGATGGTCGAGCCAACCGTCTTCAACCGTCCTCGTCGTTGCTTCGTGTCCGGCGTGGATTTACTAAGATCATCGCTCATGCTCATCCAGTTGAGCAACTCCCCACAAAAGCGAACACCACGGATGGGAGTTTTCATGGACAGCTGCAGTGGCCAGCCAGAAATGAAAGGTGCTTGGGCGATCCACCTCCTCGATACGTTTTGGAAGGTCTGGTATTCCGTTCTGTACACATGGGGGCAGGAGGCTAATGCTTATGATTCGAGTTTCCCTGGCTGGTGGCACGACTTCTTGCGACATAGGAGACGGGAGGGGGCCATATATTGTTCAGCAGAGGGTCGGACACGCTCTTCGGTCTCGTGGTTTACCACATGCACATGAACTGCATGACATCAGTAATGCGTTTATGTGTCCTACCACGGCGTCCCTATTCAAGCTGGTGTCGCACGACCTGACCCGCAGGTCTTTGCCGAGCAGAGGTTGAAGAATGGGGTCGTGAGCTTCAGGATGGGGGAGGCTGGCCGCTACTTCTTGACAAAAATGGAGGTGTCCAGGGATCCTGTGAGATGCCCAAGCAGTTTGCTAGCGTGCTTCACGGTACTGTTGAACAAATACGTGCGCATCCTACACATACAAATATCCAAGCACAGCGTGAAACTCTTCATCGTGCTCTTATCGACTGCTCGATCTCGGGGCTCGCTGACATACGGTAGGTTCTTGCGGCGTCGGCGCGCGCAAAAGTTTTGACGCCGTCTCGATCGTTCAACCTTGAACCAATCGCGGCCCCGATCGCTCAAGTTTGAATCTGGTCGGGTCCTGTGGCGTTACCATGTCCCTCGGTGCATCCGCGTCGCTTCATCGTGCGGAATTCAACCTTGAACGCCTTCGCCGGCGTCGCCGGCGCGCCAACGCCGCATGAACCTACCGTATTTGCCAAGCGACTTTCTTCCTCTTGAGCCAAGCACGGAGCAGGCGATGTCGAACACTGCCGAGAGCAACCGAGCGATTGATGATTTTCCCTCTCAGCCGAACTGTTCGCAGAACATGACAAAAAGGACAATATCCCACATTTGGGGTCGGCTGTTGCGAATCGCAAGCTGCAATAGAAGAAGAAACAAAAACATAAACATAGCTTTTGAAGCTCCCCGCGGATTTCTTGGATCCGCGCCTGGCCACTCGTACTCAGCAATGCCCGTCTGGCCGCTGGGGACTACAAAAAAGACTGGAAATCTCGAAACGCCTTACCACCACAACCTCCTCTTTGCTCCCCCGATCCTCGCCAGCCACCTCGCACGCGGGGGGCGCCGGCGCCAGCCTCAGCGAGTCTTCGGCCCGACGGAGGGCGGCCAGCTCGGGGACCAGGATCTTGCCGGGGCAAGGAGGGGGGTCTCCTCGTCATCATCCTCGTCCACCTCCGTCTCCTTCTTCCTCCTCCTCCTGTTCCTCCTCCTCCTCCTCTTCCTCCTCTTCATTGCCCTCCTCCTCCTCCTCAGGTCCTCCTCCTCCTCCTCCATTGCTCTTTCCCTTGTCATCCTCGGCCGCGCGCGGCCGCCGTCTGTGTCACAGACAGCTGACGAAACATCCCACCATCGTCACCCTTCTCCCCTGTCATCCTCATTTCCCCATTTCTTCCCTCGTCCCATCCTCCTGATCCTCCATTCCACCCCCCTCCACATACTCACCTCTCGTCCTCCTCGTCCTCCTCGTCCTCCTCCTCCTCGTCTTCTTCCTTCACCTCCACCTCCACCTCCTCCGCCTCCTCCCTCCTCCTCCAAGACAGCAAGACAGCAAGACAGCCAGCTTAGAACCCCTTCCATCTCTGGAGGAGATGGTGTCTAAAACTCGCTGGCGCGGAGGAGGAGGAGGACGGAGGGGAAAGATGGCGGAGGGGGTCCAAGGTGCAGTTCTGGGGTTGGCTTAGCCTTAGCCACACGCTTGCCGACAAGTTAGCGGAGAAAGGTGCGAAAGCTCACGCTACCAACCCTCACTTGGAGCGAAGGCGCGTAGATGGCCGTGACGCGGCGCGGCGTGTCTTCAAACTCATCGGTGCCTTCGGCAAGTATCGTTCTGCGTCTGATGTTCCGGATGTCCAGCGGGCGAAGGAACCCCGCAGGCCCAGCTTTGACCCTTTGCAGCTCGTCCCTGACCCCATGAGCCATGTCGTGCAGCGGGTTGGCGAATCGGACAAGGCTTTTCTGTGCACCCCCTGCGGAGCCAGAAGGCTGTCCGAGCGGGCCCAGCACTGGATTGCCGAGGCTGGCCCGTGTGGCCGACAAGAGCCACAGGCTGTGGCTCATGGGCTCCACTCTGGCCTGATGCTCGGCGTGTGCAGCCTTCGGAGATTCGCGTCTCCGTTTGCTTGGCGGGACCTGCCTTGGGCCACCCCGTAAGAAGGACGGAGTGAAGATCCTGAGGCTGCTCAAAGAAAGGAAGGATCCGTCCACCAACCGAAGGGGGGGCAGGAGCTTCTGCCTCATCATCACCTCATTGATCATTTCCCGTTTCAATCATGTTCGTCGCGCTTCATCTGGAGGCAGACGCTCCGCAGCCTGATGGAGCCCGAAATAGAAGGCGGAGGGGAGAGGAGGGACGAGGGAGAGATGGTGGGGAGGAGCGAGGAGGGAGGAGGCAGGAGGTGGAGGAGGACAGGAGACGGAGGCAGAGGACGGGACGGCAGAGCGCGCTCCTGGTCACGGGGCTGCAGGCAGGACCTCGTCCGGGCGCTCGGCGGCGCGGCGGCGACCGCTGCCAGGGGGTCCGGCTGTGCGGCCGCGCCTCTCCTGGCAGGGGGCGGGGCTCCTGCTCGTCGGCTGAGCGTCGTTGCACTGATCCCCGTCCCCTCGGGCATGGCCGCGGCCCCACTGGCCAACTTACCTCCTGCGGTGGGGATGCATGTGCCCTTCGGGCTTCGCAGGAACTGTCCGATCCCCACCCGGGGACATGGGGCCAGTGGGGCTGGGACACCATGGCCCAGTGGGGATGGGGATCGGCCAGAGGACGCTGATCCTCGCCCCCAGGACAACGGGAACGGGCAGGATCAGGCAACGTCGAATCACATGTGTCGAGTTGTCCTTGGTTCGCAGATTGAGGCGGGCACCCCATGGGTGCGCAACGAGGTTCCGCACGACCAGGATTCTTACATTCCCCCACGCAAAACAGCCCAAACCCAACAGCAGCAGCAAGAGCAGGGAGCGGGAACAAGCGGCAAGGAGGAGAGAGGAATAACCAAGCGTAGCACGGAGAGGAGCAGGAACGCGAGCGAGGAGCAGGATTCTCACCCACTGCGATTGAAAATGAGAAAGGCTGCCAGTTGGAATTAGACCCTGATGGTTTTAAAGCGACAGTTCTGGTTGTAAAAATGACTCGCCCCCCCAGGAGGGCGTCAAGAGACACAAACCCCTGCTTGTCCTGACAGTTGTCAATGTTAGTCGGGTTCTCGCATTTTCTGCCTTCAGGAATGTCCGAGACTGCCCAGGAGGCTCGCAAGATCACCCCAAGGGAATCCGAAAGGCCCCCAAAAAAGTCCAGGAGAGCCCCAAGACGGCCCCAGAAGTCCTCAAGAGAGCCCCAAGACGGCCCAACAGAGCCCCAAAAGAACCCGAAGAGGGCATACAGATGCACCCGACACCCGAGACACGGCCTCCAAGGGCTCCTCACAGCCCAAGAGCGCCCCAAGACAGCTCCAGAGAGCTCCAAGACTGCCCAAGCTGGCCCCAGACGACCATCAAGGCCAGAAGAGAGCCCCAAGACAGCCCCAGAGCCCCAGAGGCCCCTCCCTATGCTCCCCCAGGGGTTTCCCCAACAGCTGGAGGAACCCGCGATGCACCTGCGTGGGCGTTTTTTTCTCTCGGCATTTCGCGACGCAGTTGATTGCAAAAAGCTAAATGGCAGCGCTGACTCGCCGTCGATGACTTATTCTCGTCGCAACCCTAGACGTGTCAGTGTGAAGCGCGTTTCTTCATTTTCGGCGATAGTGGGCATTATAGGGGGGAGGGACCAGGGGGGGGAAAATGTAACGCCTCCCCCCCGCGGTGTGCCCGATGAGCACGGCGGCAGTGCCCGGAGCGCACTAGGGAGGGGGAGGGGCGTTACGTTATAGGGGGGGGGCGGGGGCTGTAATGCCCATGATGCCCCAATGAATAAAAAAACACGCTCGTGGGGCGGCCGGGAAATCCCCTCCCGTGGCCGCCGCAAGAAGCCGTCTCGATACTCCGCGACCCGAGGCGCAGCGTCCCCCTCCCCTTCCTCCTTCTCGGGGGCGGCCAAGGGGGGGGGGGGCGCCCAGGAGGGGGGGGGGCGCAAATCATGGCTGGCGGCATGTGCGCGGCCCCAGGGGGGGGGCCGGGGACGCAATGAAATTCGCCGGCCCAACGGGCCAGAGGCGTGCTAAGATCTCCGGTTACTGGTGAACAATATTTCTAGTTCGAGCGCGCGGGGCGGCCCCTGGGGGCCCCCGGACGAAAAATACCCTGGCCAGGTCCAGGTCCACTCCCGGGCCACTCCCGGGCGATCCCCCCAGACCGCCCCAGGGGAGGGTCATTTTTCGACACCCCTCGCGAGGATCATGGCCTCCGAGGGGGGAGCCGTAATCGACTACCTCCCCCTCCTGGGCCAAGAGGCCCCCAAGAGTCCCCCAAGAGGCCCCAGGGGCCCCCAAGACGCCGCCAAGGAGCCCCAAGAGGCCCCCAAGAGGCCCCAAAGAGCGCTCCAGGGCCGGCAGAATGAGCGAAGCAATTAAATAAGAAGAAGCGCCGTGAAATCTGGGGAGATACTTACCATGGCCCCCGCCATGATGTCCACCCCCCCCTAGTCATCACCCCCCCCTGTTCCACTCCCGATCCTTCACCTCCTCAACGTTCCTCATGCTCCGGCGACGACGACAACGACGGCGACGCGATGGCGAGGACGACGGAAACGACCATGGTGACGACGACGACGACGACGACGACGACGACGACGACGCCGACAACGGAAACGACGACGCCGAAGCCGAAGCCGAAGCCGAAGCCGCCGCCGCCGCCGGCGACGACGGAGGGCGGATGAGAACGACAGCTGACGACGACGACAACGGCAGCGGCGATGGCGGCAGATGGCCAGGCGGCAAATGGCCAGGCAAATGGATCCGTCACCGGCGGGGCGGGGCGGCGGGCTCCTCGGGGTGAGGCGCTGGGGGGCGTCGCGCCTGCGGCGACGGGCGGTGCGCCGTCGTGGGGCAGTGGCTTCTGGGCATCGTTTCACCGCTCCCTGTCTCCACTGGCGTGGCCTGGGCCCCACTGGCCGGCTCACCCCCGAGATGGGGATGCAGGCGGTTCCCCTCGGGCCTCGAGGGGCGTATCCCCATCGGGGGGGTGGTGGGGTGGTGGGGATCGGGATGGGCATGGGAATGGGGATAGGGATCGGATAAAGGATACTGAGCTTCGGGGCCGTGCTCGGTTCACAGCCGCGGGCGGCGAGCAAGTGGCACGGGCGGAGGTCCTCGCCGACGCTCGCCGCCCTCCGAGCGCCTCCCTGAGTCGACGGCGGTGCTGGGGGGGAGGGCGCCGACGACGAAGACGACGACGACGAGAGCTCGGGCTCGGGCGGTCAGGGAGCCCAATAAGGACGCGCGCGCCCAGCCACGCACGTGAGAATGCCACCTGGATTCGCGGGCGTCGACCCAGCGCTCCGGGCGCTTGCGTTGATGCGATTCCGCGAGGCCCGTGCGAACTCGTGTGCGCGTGCGCGTCTGCTTCGCTCCTGTAGAAGAAAAACCACATAAACATAAACTTTTGGCGCTCCGCGCGGACTTCTTGGATTCGCGCTGGAACCCGCCCTGGCGCGCGAAGCGCTCCAGGGGTGGCGCCAGAGGCGCCGCCGGGGGGACCAAGGCGCGGATCCAAGAAATCCGCGCGGAGCCCCAAAAGTTTATGTTCATGTGGTTTTCTTCCAAAACATCCTGTGGTGTTGGGTCATCGCTTTGAAGAAGACGGTGCCCCGCGTTCCTCTCCTCTCCTCTCCTCTCCTCTCCTCTCCTCTCCTCTCCTCTCCTTTGGACGCCCGAAATAGGTACGGAAACAATGGGTGCAATGCCCAACAACAAATGTTGTCCCAAACGAACAGCGGCCGCTGTTGGGCAGGCGGCCTTGGGTCTCAAGTGGACACAGGCCGCGGCGGCGCGGACAGCGAGTCCTGTTCAAAATGAGCAGGAACTGCGATTGAGCATTGTACCCGTTCTTTCCGTGCCCCTTTCGTTCGTGCCGATCGCCTCTCCTCTCCTCTCCCCCTCCCCTCCTACCTCCCTCTCCTCCCCCTCCTCCCTCCTTGCGTTTCACCCACCCAATACAGCGCTTCGTGGCCCCATAGGGAGCCCCACCGAAAATCCCAATGCTACCGTCCGCATGCGTCCCGCACAGCCAGTACAGCGTCTCGTGGCCCCCTCCTGCCTCCTCCTTGCGTTTCACCCACCCAATACAGCGCTTCGTGGCCCGGGAGCCCCACCGAAAGTCCCAGTACTACCATCCGCATGCGTCCCGCACACCCAGTACAGCGTTTCGTGGCCCCCTCCTGCCTCCCCATTGCGTTTCACCCACCCAATACAATGCTTCGTGGTCCCATGGGGACCGAAAGTCCCGGTGCTACCGTCCGCATGCGTGCCGCACACCCAATGATTACAGCCAGCGTTTCGTGGCCCCCTCCTGCCTCCTCCTTGCGTTTCACCCACCCAATACAACGCTTCGTGGCCCCATAGGGAACCCTAACGAAAGTCCCAGTGCTACCGCCCGCATGCGTCCCGCACACCCAGTACAGCGTTTCGTGGCCCCCTCCTGCCTCCGCCTTGCGCTTCACCCACCCAATACAGCGTTTCGTGGCCCCATCCGGTAGAGGGAAACAATTACTGAACACTCCTCCTCCTCCCCAAACTCAATGTTGGCACGCGCGGGGGGGACTGCGGTCGAAGTGCATCTCATCAGACCCACCGCCAACTTTGAACATTGGGGGGGGGAGGCGTTGACAGATGAATGTGGCATGAGTGTTCGCTAATTTGTTCCGAGGCCTGTAGGAGCCCCACCGAAAGTCCCAGTGCTACCGTCTGCATGCGTCCCGCACACCAAATACAGCGTGTCGTGGCCTCCTCCTGCCTCCTCCTTGCGTTTCATCCACCCAGTACAACGCTTCGTGGCCACATAGGGAGCCCCACCGAAAGTCCCAGTGCTACCGTCCGCATGCCCCCGCACACCCAGTACAGCGTTTCGTGGCCCCCTCCTGCCTCCTCCGTGCGTTTCACCCACCCAATACAACGCTTCGTGGCCCCACAGGGAGCCCCACAGAAAGTCTCAGTGCTACCGTCCGCATGCGTCCCGCACACCCAGTACAGCGTCTCGTGGCCCTCTCCTGCCTCCTCCGTGCGCTTCACCCACCCAATACAACGTTTCGTGGCCCCGTAGGGAGCCCCACCGAAAGTCCCAGTGCTACCGTCCGCATGCGTCCCGCACACCCAGTACAGCGTTTCGTGGCCCCCTCCTGCCTCCTCCTTGCGTTTCACCCACCCAATACAACGCTTCGTGGCCCCATAGGGAGCCCCACCGAAAGTCCCAGCGCTACCGTCCGCATTCGTCCCGCACACCCAGTACAGCGTGTCGTGGCCCCCTCCTGCCTCCTCCTTGCGTTTCACCCACCCAGAATACAGCGCTTTGTGGCCCCATAGGGAGCCCCACCGAAGATCCCAGCGCTACCGTCCGCATGCGTCCCGCACACACAGTACAGCGTTTCGTGGCCCCCTCATCCGTCCTCCCTGCGCTTCACCCCCTCAATATGTTTTGTGGCCCCATTGGGAGCCCCACCGAAAATCCCAGTGCTACCGTCCGCATGCGTCCTGCACACCCAATACAACATTTCGTGGCCCCATAGGGAGCCCCACCGAAGGTCACATTGCTACCGTCCGCATGCGTCCCGCACACCCAGTACAGCGCTTCGTGGCCCCATAAGGAAACCCAAGCATCCCCCCGCATGCGTCCGGAAAGCCCAATTTGGCATTCTTACCCACCCAGTAGAGCGTTTCGTGGCCCCATAGGGAGCCCCACCGAAGCCCCCAGTGGACCGTCCGCATGCGTCCCGAAAACCCAATTTGGCATTTTCACCCACCCAGTACAACGCTTCGTGGCTTCATATGGAGCCCCACCGACGGCTGCAGTGCCACCGTCCGCATGCGTCCTGGAAACCCAATGTGGCATATTTTCGCCCACCCAGTACAGCGCTTCGTGGTCCCACGGGGAGCTCCACCGAAGCCCCCAGTGCCACCGTCCGCATGCGTCCCGAAAGCCCAATTTGGCATTTTCACCCATCCAGTACTGCGTCGCGTGGCCCCATAGGGAGCTCCATCGATTCGTGGCCCCATGGGGAGCTTCACCGAAGATGTTGACAATTGCGGTACCCACAACTACATATAGTTGGGTCCTTCGCCAGGATAATTATTCTTCGATCCTGGAATCGGCGATGCATCGCCGATAGATCGGCGATAGGCCTCCGATAGTGAATCCGCACCTTCCTGGGCAGGTTGGGTCGATCAGACCCCTATCGACGATCAATGAGCGATTAGGGGTCGATGCATCCCCCCTATGCCTATCCCCCCCTATCGTTGCCTCCGATGGGAGGGATGACGCCGACGGCGACGACGAGGCCTCGGGCGCGGACTCTCGGCTCGGGCGCTCGGCTCGGGGTCGGACGCCGAGGACGACGAGGACGCCGACGACGACGACGAAGAGGGCGGCGGCGGCGGCGAAGACGACGATTCCCCGTGGAGGCAGAGTGAGGGCTGGGGAGACGTGCGGAGCCGGCGATTAGAAGTGGGCCTCCCCCCCGACATCTGACGTCGTGACTTGTTCACAGCGTGTCTCCTCACAGGTCTGACCTCTTCCCTGGGCCCAGCGCTTCATCCTGCATCGTTTTCTGACGGCTCTGGGGCCCGGCAAGGGCCCCTAGAGGCAGAAAACTGCCCAAACCCTCCCGTCGTGATGCTTCACGACGCGAGGATGTCAAGCTCTTGGGGTCAAAAATGGACCCCCGGATCCGTCCTGGAACGCGTTTGGACTAGAATATCGAAACGGATCCAGCCGGACGAGAAGCCCCCGAGAACGACCTGAAGGCGCAGAACGCCCCAACGAAAATCTTCGAACCTCCCACTTCGAAGAGACCCTGCCCCGCGACCCGCCGGCGCATCCCCCGCGCTGCCCCGGGCGCCTCTGGAGCGACATCCCCCGGCCCTGCCCCCCCCCAGCGAGCTCGCGGGCGCCGACTCGGGCGCTCCTAGAAGAAGAAAAAAAAACATAAACATAAACTGTTGGCGCTCCGCGCGGATTTCTCGGATCCGCGCCGGACCCCCCACCCTGGCGCGCTCCGCGCGCCAGGGGCGGCGCCAGAGGCGTCGCCAGGGGGGCCCAGCGCGGATCAAAGAAATCCGCGCGGAGCGCCAAAACAAATTGTTTATTGGCGGCGCGCACACGGGGGTGGCGGGAGGGGGGAGGGCTTCTTAGGAGGCTGCTTCTCAGAAGGCGCCGGCCTCACACCTTTAGATAACCCATGGGGCCGAAACTTGTGAAAAACCTCCGCCTTGATTTTTCCAATGTGTTGGATCTTTGGAAAGCGCCAGAAGTCTATGTTTAGGTCGGGCATGTCCTCCTACAGGGGTATTTTAGACGAAAGATAAAAGGTGATCAAAAAAAATCAAAACACGCAACAATAGTCAACAAAATCTTCTCCTGACTGTTTTTTGGCTATTTTTGAATACTCCTCCTGTAGAGGGACAGGCCCGACTGCAACTGATGTTCGTGTGGCTTCTTCTCCTCCGAGCTCCGCGGGCGAGGGGGGCGCCGGGCCGCCGGCGCGCGGCCGGCGCGCGCCGGCGCGGCCTCTCCTGGGCCTGATCGGCGGCGTCGGCGGCGCTTTGAGCGGCCTTCGCGGCGGTTGTCGCGGCGGCCTCGGGGTTCGGGGGGAGAGGAGGGGATACATACAGGTTCGGGGGAGAGGGGGGGATACTCACATCTACATATACACAGATATACCTATATGTATATAAAGAGAGAGGGAGAGAGAGAAAGAGAGAGTTGCAAGGAAAGGGGCGGAGGGAGAAGGAGAGAGAAGAGGAGAGGGGAGCGGGATCAGAACAAGATGCCAGGTGTTCTCGCAGCGCACGAACACACGAGAGCGAGAGACAGAGGAATATGGAAGAATATTGATGGTGAAGGACGGGGGGAGAGGGCAGGGGGACAGCGAAAGTAATGTAGGGGGGGAAAGAAAGGAAGAGGGGGAGAGGGGGGAGAGGGAGGAGGGGAATCAGGAGAAGGGGGGGAGCAGGAGAAGAAGCAGGAGAGGGGAAGAGGGAGAAGGAGAAGAGGATAAGATGGGATGGGATTGAAGGATAGCGCACAGCAATTAACAAGAGGTGAAGGATGAACATCTGCATAGCGGCTCGCCGTCAATCGGGATGCGCAAGATCGCGGCGTGCACGGGCGGCGAGAGAGCTGGAGCGGCGAGGCACGCCAAGAAATCCGCTGGCCTTCGCCTGGGTCTGAAAGCATCTTGGCACGGGCACGGTACGCAGATGCTGTTGATACTGGTGCTGCTGATGTGATTGTATCCCTACTGGAACAACTCAACCAACAAAACACTACAAGTGCTCTTCGGATGGGAACCTACATACTCGTCCTGACGCATGATTATGATGAATGCTAAATGCTGACGTCTACTTTTCACCTGCGTAGCACTATGACCTCTTCTGTGGTACCAACTGCCTCTGGCAATGCAATATGTTCTGGTGGCCACGATAAACATTACTGCTGCCACTCCCGTAACAACTGCTACCGATATTGCTACTAGTGTTCGCACTTCTATACTGGTTGTGGCTACTACATGTACCTTCCTACTGGCCGAGTCAATGTCACTGACTCTGCGAACGCGAACACAGCTTACTCCACATACTGATCAAGCTAGTTGTTGGTAGCATCAATATCAATGAAAAACACAGTTACCAGTCCTACTAGCACCAAAACCACAACCACTACCAACATCAACACAACTACCACCATCACGACCGCTACCTATATCTGCCAAGTGGGGACAATAGCCTCTGGCGACAGCCGGTCAGATAAATCGTCCCCGCCAGGCGGAACTGCATCAGGAATGATCTCAGTTTCATCCTCAGCGCGACAGGGAGGAACCGCCAGGAGCAGAGAGTGGATGGTGAGCGGGGAGGGCCAAATGCGCGCGGCCAGGAGCGACATCGAGACGGAGGCAGCAGTGCCAATGGCACCCCCCGCCGGTGGCCCCGCCGCTTCTCGAAGGCGATCTTCCTGCCGACCTCGCCTCATCACAATCCTTCCCTCATTTTGCTCCTCCCACTCCCTCCCCCACTTGCGGCACCCAGGACTGAAAGTCGACACGTCCAAGCCGTGCAACTACAGGCCAATATCGCTGTTAGCAGTGAGGTACAAAGTTCTCGACACCATCCTTTCGCAAAGATTTTAACGTAGAGCTGCAGTAGAGGCACTACGGGAGTCACAGTACATCTTCAGATCAAAGCGTGGTACGAACGACGCCCTGTTTGTGGCACGGCGCTTGATCGACGCTGCCTTAGAAGATAAAGACGGCTCTCTCCTGCTCGTATTCCTGGATTGGAATAAAACGTTTGACTGCATCTGGCCGAAAAGACTCCTTAACGCACGTCGGCTGTTCCGTGTGCCGCCGCCTATGCTCCACATGGCCGACGCAATTCACAAAGAGCGGACGTTCGTGGTGAAGAACGGGACCTCCACGACATCGAGCCGAACCCAAGCGGCAGGGATAGCACAAGTCTGCCCGCTCTCACCATAGGTGTTTATCATCTCGATGCCAACACTCTTGGACATCGTTGACAAGCAAATGGCAGAACACAGGCTGGAGAGATCATCCAAACCAGATTCGATTTCGGAGGACGTGCTGTACGCAGACGACACACCGCTGCTCGCGGAGAGCCCCGACCATCTGCAAACACATTTGAGTACAGTCGTAATGGTTGGCAGAGCACTTGGACGAGACCTCAATGATGGGAAGGCAATCCTCCTCAGGATTCGTTCAGACGCTACCATCATAGGGTTAGGTCGGGCATGTCCCCCTACAGGCGGATTTTGGACGAAAAGTTGAAAATAGTCGAATCAAAAATGCTCAAAAAATCGTCCCCACACTATTGTTTGACTTTTTGGGGTAATCCTCCTGTAGAGGGACACGCCCGACGCAACGCTACCATCGCAGGGCCCCCGCTGCGTAGCCACCCTGCTTGGAGAGAGCGCCGCGTGCCTCGCTGGGCTTCTGAGTGTAGACGGCCAGCCACACACTGAGTTTCATTGCACCGGCCTTGCAGTGGGGGCCCATGCCAAGAAACACCCTGCTTGCCTCCAGGGTGCCCTGGGTTTCTTGGGTTCCGATTGTTTTGCCATGGAAAGCGTGACGTTCCCACACCCAAAACAGATGAACGCCCTGGGGTCTCGGGGTTGGCCCCCGATGCGCAGCAGGAGCAACAGGAGGCCAGGGCCATCAACCCTGAGGCTCCCCGATGCGCCGCAGCAGCAGTAAAAAAGGATGAGGGCAATGATCTTTGCACCGGCCTTGCAGACGTGCTGCAGCGGATTTCTTCATGGATTTCTGCGCGGACTATTGCCCGAAGCGGCGAGCGTAAAAAGAAGTACATTTCGCGTGGCTTTTTTGGGGTCCTCACTCCTGGCCAACAAAAATCCGCACGAGATACACCTCGGAATCCGGAACGAAATTCTCCAGGACACCCCAGGCCCACCCTATCGTTTTCCGAACGAAATCCGCTCTGCGATGTTGGCGCCATGAAAAGGGCATTTGAGGAAATGTGCACTGCATTGAGCCGTGCAAGTTTAAGCAGCCAGCGCAAGCTGCAAGTCTTCAAAGCGTGCAGTTGTTCAAAGTTGCTGTCTGGCCTCGATTCGTGCATGCTTTTGAAGGCAGGTAGGGCGAAGCTAGATGCATTCCAAGTGCGATGCTTGAGGAGGATGCTCAAGATTTTGCCAGCGTATGCGACTAGAGTCAGCAACGCGGTCGTTCCTCAGCAAGCAAACGTACTTAGCTTATCTGAAACCTGGTTGCAACGCCAACTACTGCTATATGGTAGGCTCGCCCGGGAACCTCCGAGCAGCCTCCAAAGACGTATGTTGTTTTCCACTGGGAGCCATTATTCTGTCTTGCCCCAAACGTGGGGTAACGCACGAGCCCGAGGCAAACCGCGATTGCAATGGACGACGTGCATGCAGTCACAAGCTTCGGAGCTGTCGCGGAGAAGCCTGCGTCTACTCCAAACTCTTTTAGGCGACGAAGCGACTTCGCGCTCAGCTGTGAATCTTGGTGCAGTATTCGTTGATTGCTCTGCCTCAGTTCCTCTCCTCCCTCCACTTCCTGGCTGCTCCCTCCCTACCCCTCCCTCTCCCCCCCATCCCAGATTGTCTGCAGGTTTTCGCATCGTGCCCCAGGGGGTACCAAAGTCTTCCGATGGTCTGCCACCGAGCCGCCTGCAGTGCGATCGACTACTCAAGATACGGTTTGCTTGTGCCCGCACGCCGCCCTGTCGGGCGTTGGCAGAACTGGGTTTAGTGGGACCTGGTTTAGTGATGTGTACTGGGGGGCGCCCCCCAGGCCCTGTTCCACTAACCGGAACTGCCGTCACCCGAAAGACACCAGTTACGGCAGACTTGGTTTAGTGATTCTGGCCAGTTTAGGGGCTCCAGGGCCCTACTACTAACCGGGTGCCCTTAACTGTGATCCTGGCTATACCCGAACCTGCCTCAATGCTCTTTGCCAGTGCGCCGCCTGGGCGCGGCTGCTGTCTGTCTGTCCTCCCCCCATCACCTTCTCCGCCGCGCCCTTCCCCTCCTTTCGTGCACTCCTTCGCCTCTCTCCCCTCCCCGCCCCGCGGCACGGGGCAGGGGGATGAGGAGGAGGAGGACGAGGAGGACGAGGAGGAGAATCCGAGGACGAGGACGAGGAGGACGAGGAGGACGCGGAGGAGGAGAAGGACGCGGAGGACGAGGAGGAAGAGAAGGAGAATCCAATGATCGAAAGCACGGTGGCGCCAGCCAGTCCTCCGCCAGCGCTCTGAATGGGAAGAGGAGTCACGGCGAATCCTTCGATACTGGCCCCTCAGAAACACTGAAAAGATCTGGTGGTGGAGCTGGTGCCGTGTGAGCTTCCTGGTATCTGCTGCTGCATTCTCCGGTGGTGGTGCCGTGGTGGGGTGTACTCCCTGGTGGCGCCTGAAGAACTCAAAGTGAATACCTACCTTGGCATATCTTAGAGTGTTTGGCCTCTAAGGTATCCTCAGGACCCCTCTTGAGATGCCCTCCGCAGAGGGCCTTTAGAAAAGGCCCCAACCTCTGGGAACACTGCGCCCCGCAGTACCAGCAAACCATGATTGGACCGTTGCGATCCCTTCGATGCCCTCAGGCAGGAAGGCCACCATCACCATGCCATGACAACGACGCCTCCACGGAAGTGCCGCCACGGCATCCTGCGCCCCTGGGCTCCGAACCAGCCAACTCCGACGCAGAAGCCGCCGCGAGCGCCGTACCGATTGACCCGGTCCAAGGCGTGCCACAGGGTTGGCTTTCTCGATGCGCCCTGCTGCCCCGAAATCCATCCAGACCAGACTGGCCTGGAGGGGGGAAGGACGGCAGGAGGGAGGATGGAGGAGGAGGGACGGCAGGAGGAAGGGAGGAGGAGCAGAGAATGGGAGGAAAGGACCGGCGCGCTGCCAGCGGACACAGAGGCCCATCGGCCCTGCATGGGGCGGCGCGGAGGGGGCACCGCCACGGGACCGGGGGCAGCGCGAGCAGAGCGGTCCCGCGTGTTGCAATTCTGGATGGGATTGGGCCCCATCCCATCCACAAGGGGATTTGTCGGGAAGATTCCTCCAGAGATTTCGTTAGGGGGGTCTGCTGCCAGAGATCTGAAGGGGCCCCCGCACCGCCGCCGGAGATTCCAGGGGAGATTTTCGCAAGATCCTGGGGGAGTTTCTGGAACCCCTCCAGGTCTAAGTTGACGCGATCAAAGATTGGGGCGGAGGGAGGGGGCGGGAGGGAGGAGCGGGGGGAGGCAGGGAGGGGGGACGGGAGGGTGGGCACGAGACGGCACGGCGAGCCTCGAGTTGCAAGGCGATGCCCCGGCCGATTCTTATCGAGAAATGGCCAATGGCACGGTGTTTTTTGGGGACCGTCACCTAAGTCACAAAATATTTACTCGGTAATGTCACTATCAAGGAACGAGGGGTGTCGTGGGGAGGAGAGGGTTTCGAGTGTGAGATCAGTGAGTGGGAGTCGAGAAATGGGAGAATGGCGAGGGGATGCGAGGGGGATCGGGGAGGAAGGAAACGATTGGGGAGGGCAGTCACCTCCTCAGCTTCCTCGTTCCTACTTCTCCTCTTCCCCTCCTCCTCGTCATCGGGAGGATGTCTCTCTCGTGCCTCTCCTTCCTGGCCATGATCGCCCATCTTTTGATGGAAGTGTGCTTCGCAATCATCCATGAACATAGGCGCATTATTGAAAGGGGAGAGGTACTCCGTAGGGAAGATAATGGATCAAGAGCGTGCTGAACCGACATGGCGAATGCCGCTGGACTGCTCTTGTCTGTACACCTTCGGTGCGGATTCTGTCTCTCTGGCGAATGGCTCTTGTTCGGTCACTGCTTCTCTGTCTTATCATAGTCAGGCGGGCGTTTCAATCGGTGTGCTGCTAGCATTGGTTGGCTTGAGCGGATCACTCTGAATGCGCGCATGTCCATTATGCGTGGGCGTCGGGTATGGTTTGAGCTTCCCTGGGCCCTTGCAATGCTGCGCGGCCGCGAGGTCGAACATTAGATTGGGGGAGCCCTCAAGATGAACATCGTGTACTGATTGACTGTCGCTTTCTGACCTCAACATCGCCGCCGTGACCGTGTTTGCGTGTTGCACCACCAGTGGAATATGGTTGCAATGCGGCGAGCGTGTCTGCCACATGTCACATGTCTGAAAGCAACTCCGAGCATTTACGTGATAGCTTCTCGTTGCTCACTGGGCTCCCAAAGAGTTGGCTGGTTTGTCTATCTGTCGATACGGAGGTAGCTGGAACCAGAACAGGCAAGACTGACTTTTGGTGCGGCACTTTTGGGAGGCTGAAGTTCCTCTCCGTTGGCGGATAATTCTGCCGACCACCTCTTGCTACAATGGGGGCGAAGTCCCGATAAACTCTCAGAGGCCTGCAGGACAATGCTCCTGGGACTCCTTGGAACCATCGAAAAACCTCCCTGGATCTTCTGCTCCTGCTCCTCCTCCTCCTCCTCCTCCTCCTCCTCCTGCTCCTCCTCCCTCGCGTCTCCCCCTCCGCTCACCCGCTTTTTGAGCTGCGCCCAGCCGTGGCCACGAGGGTGCCCCAGGTCCCCCCCCCAAAAAGAAAAGAAGCTCAATCATCCCCCGACCCCTCGCCATCATCGCTCGTCTTCGTTCTCGTCCTAAGATTAGGTCGGGCATGTCCCCCTACAGGCGGATGTTGGACGACGAATCATAAACAGTCATAATATCTCCAAACATTGACACAAGAAACTTAAACACCGTCCCCTGACTAATATTTACCTATGTTTATATAAATATTCATCCTGTGTAGGGACAGGCCCGACTTCTTCTTCTTCTTCTTCTTCTTCTCATCCGTGCCTCCTTCCCTTTTCCACCATCTCCGTCTCCTTCTCGTTCGTCTCCCCCTCCTCCTCCTCCTCCTCCTCCTCCTCCTCCTCCTCCTCCTCCTCCTCCTCCTCCTCCTCCTCCTCCTCCCCCTTCATCTCTTCCTCCTGCGTAAAATAAATTGACTCGAAAGGTTTCCCCCTCCCTTTGTTCCCTTCCCCGGCCGAGGGGGGGTCCCGGGGGAAGCCCGGGGGGGGTCCTGGGGTGGGGTCCCGGGGGGGGATCCTGGGGGGGGGGGGGCAGGTCAGAATACCACCTCCCTCCTCCTCCTGAGTGTCTTTTGCCACCTTCTCCATCTCCTTTTCATTTGTCTCCCCCTCCTCCTCCTCCTCCTCCCTCCTCCTCCTCCCTCCTCCTCCTCCTCCTCCTCCTCCTCCTCCTCCTCCTCCTCCTCCCCCCTCCTCCCCCCTCCCCTCCCCTCCTCCTCCTCCTCCTCCTCCCTCCTCCTCCTCCTCCTCCTCCTCCTCCTCCTCCTCCTCCTCCTCCTCCTCCTCCTCACACACTTTTTCCGCCTACCCTGTCACGTTGTCCTTTAGCTCCTTCCTGTGATCACACATCCCGTCGCCATCGACGGCCATAACCTTCAGGGTCGGCGGCACCGGCAGTAAGGCCTTCACAGTTTCTCCTGTGTAGGGACAGGCCCGACTTACTCCTACGAGGAAGAAATACTGACACAAACGAAACTTCCGGAGATCCATGCGGATGTCTCGGATTGGCTCTGCACCTCACTCCCTGGCGCGTGGAGCGCGCCAGGGGCGGCGCCAGAGGCGCCGCCAGGAGGGCGCCTGGCTCGAATCCGGCAATCCGAGCGGACATCCGACAGCTTATGTTCATGCCGTTGTTCCTCTTCGACTCCCCACACTTGTGAGGGGGCCCTGGGACACACGCAAATAAATAGACACAAATAACAGGATTCCCAACATGTTCCCATATATTGTAGGTTTTTGTCTTCTCCCAACTTCCCATATGTTCCCGTATTTTCGGGGGAATCGACAATGAATTGTTTCTGTGTCTTCTTGCTCCCTCCTGACCCTGTCCACTCGGCTCTCGAGCACAAGGGGGGCCCCGGGGCGGGCGGGCGGGCGGCGGCGCGCCCGCCAGCGTTGGACGAGCTGTTGACCGCCCACAAGAACCAAAGGTACAGCCCCAGCCTTCGCGCAGCGCGGGGCGAAACGCTGTCGTCGCCGCTGCCGTCGGGGCGTCGTCCTCGCCGTCCCTGCTCCGCTCTCCTCCCTCCTGCCTCCTCCATTGTCCCTCCTCCCTCCTGCTCCTATCCATCCAGCCAGTAAGTTGTTGGCGACACGACCTGTTCCGAGCACTCCCCACCTTGTCGAGGATGGTATCGCTGCTGATCTTAGTAGAACATGCTTGACTAGAAGGCTTCCTGGACTGGGCGCCACTATCGGTCATCTCCCATATCCTCGAGCTCTTGTGTGACTTCGCGTATGCATAATGGTTCCCCTATTGTTCATGGCGGGAGATGGGGCCGTGATGGGCCTCGATTCCGCGCCGAGCAGCGTACCATTATGCAGTTCCTTACCTGCCTTGGAGCAGTATTGTCCACTTGCTGAGTTGTACTCCCTCCTGGTGGTCCTGGAAGAGACGCTCGTGGAGAACACCTGTGCGGTGTCGAGTATCTTCACCTCGCCAACGCTGTTCGTCAGCCGCGAGCTCGAGTGAAAGCTGGCTCGCCCACGCTCGATCTGTGGGCTCTCGTCTGCAAGGGCGATCGAAGATCGGGGCCCTGGTCGAATCGATGTCCTGTGGACTGAATCCTACCGTCGCACAGGTGAGCACGCAAACCCCGCCTTCAGGGATGAGGAGCTGCTCCGTAGTAGCTGTTCAAGGTCAAGGTCGGGCCTGTCCCCCTACAGGCGGTCTTTGAGCAAAATACCCCAAACATACCCCACAATAGCCAAACAATTGTCAAAACGTTGTCCCCAGGCTATTCTTTTACTAGTCTTGACTGATCCCCCTGTGGAGGGACAGGCCCGACTTCATAGTTGCTTTCAGAGAGGCCGGCGGCGGCCTCACTCACTGTGCTGATGGCCTCGCCCCCCCCCCCTCGTCCTCGAGCTCGCCCCGTCGATCGCCTCCTCGACGTCCACCGTGGCATGGCGGGAGCCAATGTTCCACGCCGTGCCGCTGATGGGCTCGGACGCCCTCCGCCCCGCCGGCCTGCGACGCCTGCTCTCCAGGCTCACACCTCCCGACCGCCCTTCAGATGCCCCACTCATCCCCACAAGCGGGGCGTCCGCACCCGAAGTGCAAGATTGCATTGCCCCTTGCTGCACTTCCAAAAAAAGAAGCACGCGAAGCCCGTGTTGGCCTTCCTGGCAACGACCACCGCGAAACTACTCGTTTTAGGTCGGGCATATCCCCTTACAGGTGGATGTTGCGCGAAAAATCAAAACACACTTATCCCAGTGCGACCCTACCTAGGAGTTGGAGCCTCTAGGAAAGCAACATGGTATGCTATGCTATGCTATGCGATGCTATGATATGCTATGCTATGCTATGCTATGCTATGCTATGCGATGCTGTGCTATGCTGCGCAATGCTATGCTGGGCTAGGCTAGGCTATGCTATGCTATGCTGCGCTATGCCATGTTGCGCTATGATCAGCCTAGGCTATGCTATGCTATGCCATGCTCTGCTATGCTATGCTATGCTATGCTGCGCAATGCTATGCTGGGCTAGGCTAGGCTAGGATATACTATGATATGCTATGCAATGCTGCGCTATGCTATGCTGCGCCATGCTATGCTATGCTATGTTATGATATGCTATGTTATGATATGTTATGTTATGCTATGCTATGCTATGCTTTTGCTTTGCCTTCGCTTTTGCCTTCACGTTTGCTTTTGCTTTTGCTTTTGCTTGGCACCCAGGGAGCGCAACTGGGGGAACCGCGCGTTTGCTTATACCTTTGATGTTGCTTGTGCTTGGGTCCCAGGGGACCGGGGGAACCGCCCGGGGCGGTTTCCACTGCCCGGCCCTTTAAGCAAAGCGAGTAAGAACCCTTCTAGGCAGAGCCTAGGTAGGGAACAACAATAAAAACATAAGAATTCAAGACATATTAAAAATAAAGAAAAATCGTTCCCAAACTATTTATTCTACAATTTTTAAATATTCCTCCTGTAGACGGACAGGCCCGACTTAAAACTACCCGTTTGGGGTCCCCGCGAAGGCGGTCACTCGTACCTCCCTCCTCGCCGTCGTCTTCTTGTTCGTGTCGTCGTCGTCGTGGTCGTCGTCGCCGCCGTTGCCGCCGTCGTCGCCGCTGCCGTGGCCCTCCGCCTCGGGGGTGCGGGCCGCGGCGCCTGATGGCGAGGAGTATGTAGCCCACGGCGCCCTCGGCTCGACGGCGGGTGGAGGAACAGAGGGGGGGATGCGGGGGGGGGATGAGGAGGAGGAGGTGGAGGAGGAGGTGGAGGATGGAAGAGGGGAGGAAGTGGAGGATGGTGGTGGACGGGGGGTCGAGGAGGGGGTGGGGGAGGGAGGGGAAGGGGGGGAGGGATCGTCGGGGAGAGAGCGCCTGTGGTACACCCCCAAAGGGGCCCCTTCGCCCCACCCCTCCTTGGACCTCCCCTGCTGGAAGCCCCCCCACCTGGCCCCCCCTTCCTTTTGTCCCGGCCCTCGAAAGCTACCCCGCCCCCTTCTTCTCACGCTCCGGAAGCTAGCCCGGAGTCAGCTTCCCCCCCCCCTTGCACCAAAAGGGCGCCGAAAATCAAAGGAGCGCCGAAAACCAAAGGAGCGCCGAAAACCAAAGGGGCGCCGAAAACCATAAGGTCGCCGACAACCAAAAGGGAGCCGAAAACCCTAGGAGCGCCGAAACCCAAAAGAACGTCGAGAAGCAAAAGGTCGCCGAACTTGAAAGGATGCCGGCAACCAAAGGGGCGCCGAAAACCAAAAGGGCGGCGACAACCAAAAGGTCGTCGAATACAGAAAGGGCACCGAAAACGAAAGCGGTGCCGAAAACCAAAAGGGCGTCGAAAACGAAACGAAAACCGAAAACCGAATCACAAGACAACTCGCCTCTTGGGCCCCACCGCCAGCCAAAACGGCGAGCATGAATCGGGCGTAGCCCCGCACGCATTTGAATGCCCACGATTCGTCCTCGTACCACTCGTATTCCTCCCCGTCCTCCTCCCCATCCTCATCGTCGTCGTCGTCCTCATCCTCGTCCTCCTCCTCCTCCGCCTCATCCCCCTCGTCTGCCCCCTGCTCCAGCTCCTCCTCATCGTCGTCTAAGACATCGTACTCGTTTCTCCTCTTCCTCCTCCTGCTCATCCTCCTTCTCCTGGCACCTCGGCGGTCGAGCAAAAAAAACGTATCCTATCGGTTGCGCCATGGAATGCGCCCTCGGCGGCCGAGAATGAAACCGTCTCCTATCGGTTGCGCCATAGGTGACGCCCTCGGCGGCCAAGAATAAAAACGTCTCCTATCGGTTGCGCCATAGGTTGCGCCCCCGGCGGCCGATATTAAAACCGTCCCCTATCGATTGCACCAAAAACTGCGCCCTCGGCGGCCGAGAATCAAACCGTCTCCGATCGGATGCGCCATAGGTTGCGCCCTTGGCGGCTGAGAATGCAAACGTCCCCTATCTGTTGCGCCATAGGTTGCGCACTCGGCGGCTGAGAATAAAACCGTATCCTATCGGTTGCGCCATGCTTTGCGCCCTCGGCGGCCGAGAATAAAACCGTCTCCTATTGGTTGCGCCATAGGTTGCGCCCTCGGCGGCCGAGAACAAAACCGTCTCCTATCGGTTGCGCCATAGGTTGCGCCCTCGGCGACCGAGAAAAAGACTGTCTGCTATCGTTTGTGCAATAGGGTGCGCCCTCGGCGGCCGAGAATCCGCCGACCCTGTCGGCGTGTGCGAGGGGCTTCCTCGTCCGTTCCTCGCCGCCCCCCCTTCTTCCTTCCCCCTTTTTTCTTTTTGGGCCGTACCCTCCTGCCGTCATGCCGTTGTCGATTCGAAGGGAAGCCCCTTCCCTTTGATCCCTTCCCCAGGGGGGGGGGGGGCCCAGGGGGGTGGGGGGGGGGGCAGATTAGTTTTTCTCGGGAGGCCTCGAAACCTCGATAACACTCCAAATGAGGTCCGAATGCCCAAGATGGCCCCCGAGACGGCCCAAGAGTGCCCCGAGTCGCCCAAAGATCGGCCGAAAACGCTCCAGATAGCCCCAAGACCGTCCAAGAAGCCTCCAAGACGTCCCAGGCCCCCTCCAAGAGACCCCCAGGAAGCCCCAAGAGGCCCCCACGAGGCTTCCAAGCGGCCCCTAAGAGCTTCCCAAGAGGCCCACAAACTACCCCCAAGAGGCCCCCAAGAGCGCTCGTCGTCGTCGTCGTCGTCGTCGCCATTCAGGGTCGGCGGCACTGGCGGTCAGGCCTTCGCAATAAAACCGTCTCCTATCGGTTGCGCCATAAGTTGCGCCCTCAACTGCCGACACTAAAACAGTGTCCTTCCGGTTGCGCCATAGGTTGCTCCCTCGACGGCCGAAAATAAAGCCATCTCATATCGGTTGCGCCAGAGGTTGCGCCCTCGGCTGCCGATAATAAAACGGTATCCTATCGGTTGCGCAATAGGTTGCGCCTTCGGCGGCCGAGAATAAACCCGTCTCCTATCGGTTGCGCCAAAGGTTGCGCCCTCGGCGGCCGAGAATAAGACCGTCTCCTATCGGTTGCGCCATAGGTTGCGCCCTTGGCGGCCGAAACAAAAACTGTCTCCTATCGATTGTGCCATAAGTTGCGCCCTCGGCGGCCCAGAATGAAACCGTCTCCTATCGGTTGCGCCATAGGTTGCGCCCTTGGCGGCCGAGAAAAACAGTCGCGTAACGGGGGCGACCAGTATGGTCAGTTCAGTTCGTTCAGTTCAGTTCAGTTCAGTTCAGTTCAGTTCAGTTCATTCTACCTCGCGAGAAGTAAATTCGGGCTACGCCCAGAAACAATGCCGAAACGCCCGAGGAGGCCAAAATCATTGATGTTCCAGAGGTGTTGGGAGGATGTTGGCACTTGATTATGTTCGGCCTTCCGACGGTACAAGACGGTCCAGAAGGCCCCCGAGATTGGCCCCACAGCGCCCAAGAAGCATCCAACATGGCCCCAGGACGTCCCAGGAGGCCCCCAATATGGCCCAGAACGGGGGCCCAAGAAGGCCCGCGAGGCCTCTATGACGGCCAAGATGGCACGGCAATGAAACACACCTAGAGAGCACCAAGACGGTGCAGAGAGGCACCCGAAACGGCAACCGCCTGCGTCAGACGGCCCAGCAACGGCCCAAAAAGCCCCGAACAAGCCCCCAAAGGCACCCTAAGATGCCAAAGGAGGCCCCCAAGAGACCTCCAAGAGGCTCCCAGGAAGCCTCCAGGAGACCCCAACACTGCCCCAAGAGGCTCCCAAAAACTCTGTTCCTCTTCCTCTTTCTGTTCCACCTCCTCCCCCTCCTCCTCCTCCTCCTCCTCTTTCATTTGTTGTCCTCATTATCCTTTTTTCCTCACGTGTTCCCCGAAGGGTTTGAACGACGGCTGGGGGAACACATGGTCCGATGCTTGACCAAGCTCTAACTCAACTTTCGGCCACACAGGCGTTTCCAATGAGGCATGCGTCGGCGATTCGCCGTGAGCGCCTTCGATAGAAGTAAGAGGAGGGCACAACGTCGACGGTGTGGATGGGGGAGAGGGGCAGCAAGATAAGAAGACAAGGCCGAAGCAGAGGAAGAACCACCGCCAGTTGCCAGCTGGACGGGGAGGACTTGAAGGAAGGGGGTTGCAAGTGGGTTGCTTTATTATAAGATAACGGTTGCTCCTCCAGGGAGCCAGAAAACGTCATCCGCAGACATTTGGCCATTAGTGCGAAGAGCGTGCAGCACGATATGTTCGAGCCGCCATGGAGTAGGAACGCCCGCCTCCGATGTGTCTGTGATGCTCGGCTGCAGCGCGCGGACATTGCAGCGTCTCCTGGCAAGCACTCGAGCTCGGGCATAGAGAAGACTCTGAGCCCATTTGGGCCCAAATTTCCCTCCAGCACGCAAGGCATTGAAAGTCGCGCACATTAAACCATGGGTCAACAGTAAGCACACACTTTCCTGAGGCAACATCTCAGGCAACTTAGCTACAAACGTGAGCTGATGACGAGGAAGACGGGGAAGAAAGGGGGAAGCGAGCGAACGACGGACGGCGGAAAAGGAAACACGGCAGGACAAGAGAAGCAATGGGCCACCCCATCGCACCCAGGGGCACAACAATCAAATTTGCAAATGTCAGCGCATTGCCTGACCCTGCCGGGCGCGGGCCAGGCTTCGCAGACAGAGAGAAGGAAAGCGCCGCCAACGCAAAAAAGCAGTTTACACTTGACACTGCGCAAGTTAAGGAAGACTTGATTACCGACGGGGGGGGCTGGAGCCAGAACTACCGAACGCGCCCCAGAAGCCCAGTCAGGGAAAAAAGTGAAGAATGCCGCGCTTCCAGGAGCTCATGCGTCTTCCTCTGAACACCAACAACACCGGGGCCAGCGAGCTGGGGGGAGGGCAAGGGCAAAGAGCTCATTCCAACGCCATATCATGTTCTTCAAACTGGTCTGGCCCCACCGCTCAGGGCACTTCCGAACAATAAGGGCATCATCGTCATATCATGGGTCATTATATGGATTCGGACCGCATAACCAAACGCTCTAGAGCGGACAGCTGCGCGAAATACTGCTGCTTTGGAGGCGCAGGAGGTACCCCCGGGCTCAGCCATGCCCCCTACGGCAGACACTTTTCGAAGAAGGTTGCTCGGGATGGCACGCCGCGAAGATGCAGCGAGCCTCTGAAGAGCAGTACATTCTGTCTTGAACACCGCGTCAGCCGGCGGATGCCATTGCCCCGCTCGAAACAACACAGGAAGAGCGAACACGCCATAAGCGATGCGATTATAGACGAGAGACGGACGCAGAGAGCGGACGCGCCAGACCCTGGCCAAGAGCCTCTGCCGCGGACCCCCCCCCGGAGTCGCGCTTCCACCTGGCCCCAGGCGCGCGCCCAAGTATTTCCCGCGGGGCCCACGCCGAAACTTCCTGACGTCGATTCAAAGCTGCCCCGCCGAGCCGACAAACCTATCCTTGTCGGCATGCCCAGGGAGAGCGAGTGGGCGCCTTTCAAGATCCAGGCGCAGACCCGCGAGCGCGGCCGACTGCGCCGCCCGCGCGACGAGGGCGGACAGGGGCGCCGCGAAGACATCTCTGAAGACAGCGCCCACGTCATCGGCAGAGGATCAGAGAGCGGCGGGGCGAAGGGCAATCCGTCTCTCAAGAGCGCGCAGACAAGGACAGAGAACAATAATCATGAGCAGGCCACATTCTTGTTTGACCCCTCTCCGCGCCGCCCCCCCCCCCCGCCCCGCCCCCCGCGCCCGGGAATTTGGCGCCGCGAAACGCGAGACCGACCTCGACGTCGACGCGTGGAAGTCCAGACGCCTGAACGACGAACTCGGGGGGGGGCCCAGGCACTCCAACGCGCGACGCATCATCCACTCGTGGCAGAGCGAGGGCAAGGCAGCAGCGACGCCCTGGACCATGGCCCCAGCAGTCGGACACCCCCACCCACGAGCGAAGTTCTAGGAGACACGATTCACGCCCAATGGCACTCTCCAATATGTCTCGCCCCCCAATGAACGCGCGCGCGGATTTCGGGATGCCGCGCCGAGCTTGCCGCGTGAATGGGGCGCCGAGGCACGTCGCGATTCGCGTGCCATCAGTATTTGACATCGCCAGGGCGCGGACCTGACTGCGTTCCAGAATGAGCACGCCGCCCTCGTTGGCCTCGCGCTGAGGAGGAACGGCCGCGTTCCCGGCATTCAACAAAGGGGCCCTTGATAATTAAGAAAAGCAGTATAGCTGCGATAGATGCCCTGTTGAACTTCGGCACTGGCAAGCTTCGAGGCGCCACGCGGCGCCCCATCACGACCGCGAGTGGAGCAATGCTTGAAGCCGAGGGCCACGACAAATGCACCAGCATCAAAAGCCCAAGCACTTCCTGGAGAGAGAGAGAGAGAGAGAGAGAGAGAGAGAGAGAGAGAGAGAGAGAGAGAGAGAGAGAGAGAGAGAGAGAGAGAGGCGGACATGCTGGACGGGCCCCCGGAAGAGTTGACCATGCAAGATGCGCCCCCCCCCCCCCGCTCGCGCATCATGGACAGGATCCCAGTGCGCGACAAGATTCGCTGCGGACTGCTGAATGGAGATGGGGTCGGAGCTCTTCGGATCGCCGACGAAACGCCCGAACGCCTTCCGCCTAGCAGGAGACCGCGCATTGATCGACTCGACATGCGCGGCGGCCATCGGGTTCGAAGCGTCGGCTAGGCCGGGGCGCGCGGCCCATCTACACCCGCGGGTTGACCGCTGCTTCCGACGGCGACCCCCACAGGCAGACTGCATAAGAAGAGAAACATCAGACAGATCACTGCGCGCATCGCTGGGCAGGCCACCCACCAGCGGCAAGATGATGTCATCGCGCAAATCGTCGGGAAAGTCATCGGGCAAATCAGCGGGCGCGTCGTCGGAAGATGCGGAAGCAACGCGCGTAGCTCCAAGCGCGTCAACGGCCTCTCCACGACGCAACGAGGCGATCCACTCGTGCAGGCCCGCGCAATCTGCGCGGGCCATGTCGGGAAGATCACGCGCGTCGACGACGCGCGGCAAGCACTCAATGCACTGCTTCATAAACAGATCGAGCCAACTGCGCGCAGCTCTCGACACCTTCCAGCAGACGTCGACTGTCTGCGCGACCGGCCGCGGCTCGCGCCGAATTGGTCGTTTCCTGAGGATCCCCGGGCCCGCGCTCATGGCCCCCATGAAATCCTCAATCGCCCGGCATGATTCATCCGATATTTCCGACCCTGAAGCCGTTTGATCAAGGGGCCCCGGAAAATCAGAATGCCTCGCGACCCAGCGGGGGCCCGGCGGCCCAAACATTGATTTGATCGTGATCTGCGCGAACGCGGGAACGTGAGCAGACGGGAAGTTCAAGTCATGCACGCGACCTATAAAACCTGACATTGCATGCCAATCGAGGACATCGGCCGCTGGGGCATTCCACTAGACGCGATCCAGACGTTCAAAGGACGTGCAACCGAGGGGCCTCATCTCGCATCGAAACAGTGCGATGCGCCACGTCAGTCCGCAAGATTCAAAATGCTGCACGAAGAATTCAGAGAACCGATCAAGCAACGCGGAATCTTCATCCGTCGTCGCTGCCCCGCCAAGTCCAATCTCCACCTGCAGCGCTCAGCGCGAGCCCCCGGCCACGCAAACCACGAGAAAACCATCGCAATATCCCCGGCAACTGGCCGCGGAAAATCCGGCTCCAGGCGCGCGTTCCCGACGGAGAGTGAACCCTGAGCATCGCCGGGGCGAAGTGCAAGTCGCCTTCCAGCTTGAACAGATCCAACCTCTAAGTGGGCGCGGGACTTCGACGGGGGTCGGGCGGCGCCAGTCCCCCCCCGAGCGATGACCACGAAGAGAGGAGCCTGCGCGATGAAACCCCTGGCCCGCGATTTCCCCGGCCCACTTATCGCTGGCCGCGGGCGCTTCATGCGCTGGCGGGCATTTCTTGCGCCGGCGGGCGCGAGCGCCCCGCAAACTTCCCGCGCGAGCAGCGCAATTCCGAGGCGCAACTGGAAAAGCGCCTGAGACGCGCCAGGGTTGGCGCGACACAGCAGAGGGCGGCGGCGAGGCAGGAAACGGAGACGGCGAGGAGATGAACTTCCTCGCGCAAGCATGAACGCGAGGCGCGGGCCCGACGACCCCACTATTTCCAGGCGCCCAAGAAAATGAGCCCCCGCAAGGGGGGGATGACGAAACAGACCCACTGGACGTCGTAGATCAGGCGCGCTTCCTCTTCAAGGCAAGCTCGCCGCCAGACGCAGCGCCACGAGGTCGACCATGCGCGAAACCATCCACGCTACATTGCTTCACCTCCTCCGTCTGAGAACACCACCAGGTTTCTCATCCAACTCGCTCAAGACGAGCCCTGGGAACGACTTCGAGACGGCGATGGGCAAGTTAAGCTGCTTGGCATCGTCCGTGACCATGATCGCGAATGCACCCGTGCATCCGCCTGTGTTAGCACCTGGAGACAAACGAGATCGAATAGTTTTTTTTCACCTCGCAGCACGTGAGGTGGAGCATGCCCGCGTGCGGGCTGGAGCCAAATATTTCTTCCACCTTCCATGCTCTTCAAGAAGATGCTGCGTACCTGTTCCCATCATGCACCCAACACGAAACTTTTGTGGCGACCGTGTAAAGGCTGATCGTACCCCAATCATAGTGGAGCGCCTTGTCTATTCTTCGGGTCCTTTCAAACTAGATGTACTGCAGGTCCAGCCTCCTTGCCCAAACTGGAGAAGGCCCTCGCTGCATCCTCGGACTAGAAACGGATACTGCAGCAAAGCGTGAAACTTTGGCACTGGGCAAAAGCACCGTCAAGCAACGACCCCGCGGCGCTGTGAACACCTCATAGTGTTGCTGTTAAAAGACACGGTATAGCATTTTCCGAATAAAACCTCGCACTCGGATCTTGATTCGATATCCAGCTTCACCCCCCCCGTTGCGACGAGATACAACAAGCACCACGGGCGTCCCGGTCAGCTACAGCACCATGTAGGACACGACCACGTCCAGAGAGCCTTGACGCTGTCTCTTGCCAACACTGTTGCTGATGAGCCGACTCCAAGGATTACCCCCACCTGCTTCCCACGATGCACCACTGGACGCTCTCGCTCGGCGCAGGGACGGAGCTGATGGCCTTCATCAGTGTGTTTTCCATGGTGACAAGCTTCGCGTCCAGCTGGGCCGCGGTGACGAGCTGGGACGGCGGCGGGGGGACCTCGAACGCCATCGGGTCGTCTTCGTCGATGGGCGGTGCGTCGGCGGTGCTCCAGGCGAGCGTCCTGGCCTCCTGCACCTGGACCTTCATCTGCTGCCGCTCAAGGCGCATCTCCGCCAACTGCGCTTCAAATTTCTCGTCTAACTCATGCATGCGCCCGACGGTGGCCTTCAGGTCGTCTCTCAAAGGCGAGACCTGCACCGAGATGACACAGCTGATAGCCTGGAGATCCTCAGGCGACGGCGGCATTGGCGGCGCGAGAAAGTTTGTTGCCCGCTTGGGTTTAACCCCGAGATCGCCCCGCCGAGAGGAACTGCCCACCCAGGCGCCCCAGCACTTGAGCCAAAATGGCGACGGAGGAGCCGCCGTGGAGTGGGAAGCGGGCGAGGTGCTGCCATCAGGGTTCGGCAGGCAGGCCCTGCCCCTCCCCACCCTTGCATGAGGGACAGGGGTCCTCAGGAACTCAGGAGGAGGAGGAGGAGGAGGAGGAGGAGGAGGAGGAGGAGGATGCGGAGGAACAGGAGGAGGAGGAAAAGGAGGAGTCCTGAACATTGGGCCTTTACCAGCGACTCGAGCGCCTCCGAATGCCCTGCCGGATGCCAGACCCCAGGGAAGCCCCAGTCCAGGACAACGCGATTCTTCGCGGGCCGCGGGGGGCCTTCAGGGGCCTGCGAATGCGTCTGGGGCCTGCGAGGGCCTGCGCGGGCCTCCGAAGGCCTCCGAACGCCTGCGACGGTCTCCAATAGGATAAGAACACATTGCATACACATCAACGTTTGAAGGTCCGCACGGATGTCCCTGGCGCGCGGAACGGGCCAAGAGCGGCGCCGAAGCACCGCCAGTGGGGTCCACCGCAGATGAAACAAATCCGTGCGGACCTCCCAAAGTTCCTGATTGTGCATTGTTTTCTTATCTGACTCCCGCCTTCGGTTGCGCCGAAGAGGCGGGTCAGGAAGAGGGGGTAGCGCATCGTGGTCCGAGGCATGTGCGCGAACGAGGGGGAGGCACCGGATGTATTGAAAAACAGGGGGCATGCCATATCGGAATGATCTGGCCCCGGCCATCCACCCCGCCCCACAATCCTCGCACCCTCTTGGACGCCCCCGACCGCCCGCAAGGGTGCCTCGTTCTCGTGGTACTTGTAAGACGCGTCGTCCTCGGCACCGCCCGGGCTCCGCTCAGGTGCTCGCCAAGAGGTACCCGACGCCGTTGGTATCACCGCTATCGTCAAGAGGAGGGGGAGGAGGAGGGGGAGGGGGAAGAAAAGGGGCAGGGAGGAAGGGAGGAGGGACGTTGGACGAGAGTAGGGACGATGACGACGACACCAACGACGCCGACGACGCCGCCGCCGACGACGACGACGACGCCGACGGCGACGGCGACGACGCCGACGACGACGCCGACGACGACGACGACGCCAACGACGACGACGACAACCACGACAACAATCTTGCGAACATACGACTTCACAAGCTGAATTGCTTTCCATGTGTGTATCCCTTTCCCTTGTACCTCGGGGGGGGTGCCGTTGTACTGGTCGAAACCATATTCGGTAGAAGTATTCAGCGGTGAAAAGGAATTTGTCTCTTTTGAACCTAAGAGATCCCAGGGGCCCCTGTGAGTGTTCAGGGCCTCGGGCGGCGACACACACACACACAGACAAAAATGTTTTTCGCAGCGCTGCGCCCCACACAAAAGATGCGTTTCCTAGCGCTGCGCCCCTAAAGTGCGACAGCAGCGCTGCGCCCCACACAAAAGATGATATTCCTAGCGTTCGAAACCTGGACCCCGTTCGAACAGGGAGCGAGCATGAAAGACAGGGGGAAAATGAAAGGAAGTGGGAAACAGGGGACTCCGACTGATATACGCTTCCCCCAGCAGCATATCACACCTGCGGGCAGCAGTAGACAGACCTAGCAGGCAGGAGGGAGGGGCAACGAGGGAGCAACAAAAAGAGAAGCGGCAGCTACTGATACTAGCCGGCCGCTCTGCGGTTGATCGGGAGTTTCTGTATATAGAAGAAGGTGCGTGCGCTTGTTGGCGAGGGTGATGAGGTTCCTCCTCCTCCTCCTCCTCCTCCTCTCCTCCTCCTCCTCCTCCTCCTCCTCCTCCTCCTCCTCCTCCTCCATCCTTCTCTTGCCTCCGTCTGTCCTCCTCCACCCCGCAGCTCCATCATCTTCTCCTCCTCCTCCTCCTCCTCCTCCTCCTCCTCCTCCTCCTCCTCCTCCTCATTCCTCCTCTGGGCACCTCCCCCGGGGCGCGGATCCACCGGATCTGTCCGGATCTGTCCGGAAACGGTGCCGGATGCCGCTCTGGGCTCCTCTGGGCACCTCCCCCGGGGCCGGTTTTGTGAGGATGTCTCAAGCGAGGGCGCCGGTTTGGGATTCGTCACCGGATCCAGCGGATCCAGCGGATCCACCGGATCTGTCCGGAAACGGTGCCGGAGGCCGCTCTGGGCTCCTCTGGGCACCTCCCCCGGGGCCGGTTTTGTGAGGATGTCTCAAGCGAGGGCGCCGGTTTGGGATTCGTCACCGGATCCAGCGGATCCAGCGGATCCACGGATCTGTCCGGAAACGGTGCCGGAGGCCGCTCTGGGCTCCTCTGGGCACCTCCCCCGGGGCCGGTTTTGTGAGGATGTCTCAAGCGAGGGCGCCGGTTTGGGATTCGTCACCGGATCCAGCGGATCCAGCGGATCCACCGGATCTGTCCGGAAACGGTGCCGGAGGCCGCTCTGGGCTCCTCTGGGCACCTCCCCCGGGGCCGGTTTTGTGAGGATGTCTCAAGCGAGGGCGCCGGTTTGGGATTCGTCACCGGATCCAGCGGATCCAGCGGATCCAGCGGATCTGTCCGGAAACGGTGCCGGAGGCCGCTCTGGGCTCCTCTGGGCACCTCCCCCGGGGCCGGTTTTGTGAGGATGTCTCAAGCGAGGGCGCCGGTTTGGGATTCGTCACCGGATCCAGCGGATCCAGCGGATCCACCGGATCTGTCCGGAAACGGTGCCGGAGGCCGCTCTGGGCTCCTCTGGGCACCTCCCCCGGGGCCGGTTTTGTGAGGATGTCTCAAGCGAGGGCGCCGGTTTGGGATTCGTCACCGGATCCAGCGGATCCAGCGGATCCACGGATCTGTCCGGAAACGGTGCCGGAGGCCGCTCTGGGCTCCTCTGGGCACCTCCCCCGGGGCCGGTTTTGTGAGGATGTCTCAAGCGAGATTCGTCACCGGATCCAGCGGATCCAGCGGATCCACCGGATCTGTCCGGAAACGGTGCCGGAGGCCGCTCTGGGCTCCTCTGGGCACCTCCCCCGGGGCCGGTTTTGTGAGGATGTCTCAAGCGAGGGCGCCGGTTTGGGATTCGTCACCGGATCCAGCCGGATCTGTCCGGAAACGGTGCCGGAGGCCGCTCTGGGCTCCTCTGGGCACCTCCCCCGGGGCCGGTTTTGTGAGGATGTCTCAAGCGAGGGCGCCGGTTTGGGATTCGTCACAGGATCCAGCGGATCCAGCGGATCCACCGGATCTGTCCGGAAACGGTGCCGGAGGCCGCTCTGGACTCGTGCTCTTCGCGCCGGGGGTGAGGATGACGTGAGTTCCACAGAAACTCCCTCAAATTAGTCTCTCAAGCCCGCCGAAGTCCAATCAGGATGCAATGCCATGGACAGAAATCCTGACACGATGCGCGTTGCGCGTGCTCGAAAGCACACGCTGTGATAAGGTCCTCCAATTGGGCCAAAGTCATACTGTGCGGAGCAGCGTATAACGAATCACACAGCAAGGCTGGCACGGCATCGGGCGAGTTTCCGGGAACCCTGGCACCACTAAGCACGCATATCCAGAGCGCCCCATGTTGTGGTGTGCGAATCAGGTAAGCCCCCATGTGAAAGCATCCGTCGGCTGTCACATGGTCAGAAAAGACGCCTCCCAATCGGGCGTCAACATCTGCTGGCGCCATGGGAATCGCCGCGGTGCCCGCCGCCGCGAAATTCGCCATGGGAACGGCAACGTCGCAGTTCCCGCTGGCGGGGCCCATGAGGTACTCAGGCGCGTCTCCGACTTTGCAAGCCAAGGCAATGCTCTCAAAGTGGTGACGCGAAAAAATGATTGGCGGAAGGTCATGGACAGCGCAGACGGGGGCCATCGCGTGGTTGAAAGCGCGGAGCCCGCACGTGGCATCCGTCCGGGTCCCGAACGGCGTGGTGGCTCGCGTTTCTGGTGAAATGAACCGTGGGAAGTCGGCAGAGACGGGCGCCAAGTTCGTGGGAAACGGCATGGCCTGGTGGGTGGCTCCATTCCAACGGGCGCACGGTCTGCACGTGACAACCGATTCTGGTCCTGCGCGACGTCCGCCCACGGCCCCATGAAACTGCGCGAGCGTCTCCTCTGCCGCAACGGAGTCTGCATCGGACTGTGCGTCCGCGCTGTCCAAGTCTGCGGAACCCATGGAGTCGCTCGCGAAGTCCGAATCCGCAGGCCGCCGCATTTCCTCTGGATCTGCGAGGCTGCATGGGGGCCCAGCAGCCACGTCGCTGGCTGCGCGCGCGGGCGCCTCCTGCAGGTCGCTCGGGCTGATGGGCGGGCCCTCATCTGCATCGCTGTCAACTTCGCCGCCCTCGTCGGTGACGCCCCCTGCGCGCGCTCGCCCGCCTGCTCAAACAGGGCCGCGCCAACGCTGAAGCCAGAGTCTCGCATCTCTTCGTGCGCCGGGCGATCGCCGACGTCCGACGACTCGCTGTCATCGCGCAGACCCTGCCAGCCATCAAAGTCGGAATCTTCGGAGCCCCTCTCTTCAGGAAGGGAACCGCGACGCGAATGCTCGGCATCGCCCTGGCCCCCCACCGGCAAGAAGTCGGACAGCTGGAGCCCCCCGAAGATGCAACCCTTCTTGGCAGAGATTCGGGAGACGGCCACGCAGCCGCAGCCGCGAACGGCAGCGTGTTTTTCTCGGGTTGGATCATATGGCACCTGCTGGTAGGCTCGCCCCCTGCGCCCTCCTGATGGTCGTCGTATAACCCCGCAACATGGCAAGAACACCCGACCGCCCTCGTACATCGGATGCACTAAGATCAAGTTTCCAGTTCCCCTGACACGCGCCACAAACACTTCGTTGCCGCGCAAACTCTCATGGACCACGGCCGTCGCGCCATTAACAAACGCCCTCACTTTGTCTAAATTCCGAGGGAGGCGTGCGAGAAGGCCCGGCTTCGCCACGATCTTGACCTGCACTCGGCTTGCAGGGTCTGGGTCGAAACCGGCCTCGAGCTCCTTCGGCGCAACGCCCGCTAAACGCAGGGCCGCTTCAGACACTTCTTTTGAACCTTTGTAGGTCGCGCACAGCCAAGTGCACGGGATGCCTGTCTGTTTCTCGAATTGCACGGTGCTCTGGAGGGCGCTCTGCCAGCAAAATGCCGGCCCGCAGAAAAAGATTGCAAATCCTCCCGCGACGGCTGCGCGGGACGAATGTGGTTCTGATATTCCAACAGCTCTTTATCTCCAGTGCGGTGCGCCGTCCTCAGCTCGACTCGTTCCACCCTTGCGCACACCTGCATGCAGAGAGTCTCATCGGCATCGTCGGTCACCTTCTCCCCGAGGCGAACGGGTCGAAATTGCTGGAAGTCCGCCACGATCATGCAATAATTAAGCACGTGGGGCTGCTCAGGCGCCGCCTTCAAAAATTAGCCGAACTCCGCGTCTGCGCACTGGCTGCCCGCGCCCACTGAGACAAGGTCTATCCTGCGTAAAGCGGAAGGCAGAGACCAGCGCACTTCCCCCCCTTCTCGGGCCGCTTGTATTTGGGGACGCCATGCATGGTGTCAACGCGGATGTTCCCGATGCGGTCGGCCTCGGGGAGCTGCGACTTGAAACCGTGGACAAGCTGACCAGGTGGAGCGGCCCTCAGAAATGCCAGGCAGTGAGGGCCCCAGAGTCGCGATGCAGGCGCAGGCAGGGAATGGGGTCCAAAATTGCGGCCCCAGCGCATGCCCACGAGGGCTTCAAAGGCCCCAGATGGCCCAACCAAACTTCGTGATGGTCCAATTGCAATCCGAGAACAGCCCAAGCCGGCGCAAAGGGGCCCCCGGACGGCCCTGAAAATCTAAGTCCCCCCCCAGAATACCCCGGGAGACGAGCGAGACAGGTCCCCATCGCAAATTCCTACCATGATCAAGC